CGATGAAAATGAAGACATTTAAAATAGCATAAAAAAATCAATCCCAAAGTGGCCAGATGATGCAAAGAAGAACAATATAAGATGGATCAGAGTCAATGAGAAAACAGTGGGTAGCACAAATGACATAAAAACCCTGTCACAGAAGTAATGACAGAAAACCTCCCAAGCAGAGAAAAAGAATTTAACATACACATAAGTGAGGCCTACTGAACTCTAATTAGCCATGATAAAAAAATCTACACCAAGGCATATAATAATCAAAATTCCAGAAATTCAGCACAAAGACAGACCATTAAAAGTTATTAAAGAAAAGAAACAAATCATCTATACAGGAAGCCTACCAGAATCACAGCTGACTTTTCAACACAAACCCTCAAGTCCAAAAGAGTTTGGAGAGAAATATTTCAAACCCTAAAGAAAATAACCTCCAGTGAATATTGATATACCCCACAAACCATCTTTCAAATCGATGGAGAAGTAAACATTTCCACAACAAAGAATACCTAAGGGAACTCATGACCACCAAACCAGCACTCCAACATGTTCTGAAGGACATTCTAGAAAGAGTACAATTCCATGAACCCTGTCTTGATTACTTTTCTTTCATTGCTGGAACAAAATACCTGACACTCAACGTGAACAAATGAAGAGTTTATTTGGTTCACAGTTTGTGGAGGTTACAGTCCACGATCAGCCTGCTCCAAGCAGAGTGGCACATGGCAGAGGGCAACAGTTATGATAGCAGAAAACAGTACAAGCAACACAAGCAAAAGGGGAGGAGCACAGAGACAAGACTCTTTCTGTTCCTTATATAGTATGAAGGCCACACCCACTTGGGTGTAGCACTCATACCCCCATAATCCCACATTGGACCGTCAGTTATTCACAATCTGTAGAAGCTCATCTCTGTGACTACATGAGGCTTTATGGGGGCATCCAGACTTATACCATTACAAACCCCAAAAGAATGAATCCACCAGGCAAGGCAAACAAATAGAGGAGAGAAGAGGTAATCAACAACAGGAAAATAGCATGACAAGGGTAAGTCAATACACATCAGTTCTAATTATCAGAGTAAATGGTCTCAATTCACCCATTAAAAGAAGCAGATTGGCAGAATGTGTCAAAAAACAAGATCCAACAATATGCTGCATTGAGAAAGATTTAACACAAAAAGAAAGTCATAGACTGAAAGTCAAAGGAAGGGAAATAATACTCCATGAAACAGGAACCTGCAGACAAAGCAATTTCAAGTCAAGACTGATCAAATGAGACAAAAACTACATTTTGATTTTACCAATCATAAATATATATGTAACAAATATTAACAGACATGCAAAATCAAAGAAGAATAAACTTCAGATATTTCTTAGTAAATGGATGCACCTTTAGACCATACACTTAAGTTAAATAAAAGGGACACACATATTTAAATATTGTATGGTTTCTCTGGTGTGAGAAAGCAAAAGGATAATGACCAAAAATGTGTAATAGATATTAAGAAGTGGGGAGAAAATGTTCAAATGGAAAGGGGAATAAGGAAGGGAGGGAGGAAAGGAAGAAAGAGAAAAGAATAGAAGCCAGGGATTTAGCTCAGTGGTGTAAGCACCTGCCTGGTAAGCACAAGGTCGTGAGTGCGATCCCAAGTACAAAAAAAAAAAAAAAAAAAAAGAATAGGAAGAAAAAATGGCAAAAGGAGAGGAAGAAGAGTTGAAAGGAGGGGAAGTGGTTGAGGGGAAAAGAAAATCAAGATATATCATGTACAGGTACAAATTCCCAATGATGAATGTGATCATTGCACATATCTAAAATGTACTGATAAAATTAATTTTAAAAAATAAAAATAAAAAATAAAACCAAGAGAATTAGATTTATTTAAAAAATAAGAGTTAAACTTGTTCATAGTACAAACAAGTTATATATATATATATATGTATAGTATGTATATATGAATGTAAGAAATTATTCCTTCAAGCCCTTAGATTGTGATTGTTTACTCTGAGCTACATAGTGGTAATTGCTAAATGACCTTAGCATAACTCTGGATATAAATGCAGCAATGGTTCAGAGAATTCTCTAATGGCTTCAGTCCGTACTTCATAGGCCTCCCAACTTAAAATTTCATATCAACAAACAAGTTACTAAGAGAAATTTAAGGCAATAAGAACAGGTTATGTTGGTGTGATTAGCTGCTCAGTGCTAACACCTTATTTTCTGGCCAATTCCTCTCCACCAGGAAAAGGAGCAGTAGTTCTCTCACAAGCTGAACAGAAAAAGCAAGTTGAAAGGTCCATAGTGGGCAGACAGACAAAACTGCATGTACCACTTTAGAAAACAATTAAACGGCCATGAATTTATTTATTTTTTTAATTTTTAAAAATTTTATTTAAAGAAAGACTAAACAAAACAGAAAATAGGTAGAAACAATATATACGTTCAAAGAAAAAAATAAACAGTAAGAAATCACTAGTTGATGTTTACATATTGTCGTTTTACAAATAGTTGTTCAAGATACAAAAATGGAACATGTAAAGTGGAAATTCAAACAGAGAGACTGCAAACAGTTCTGTTCAACTGTTCAACAAAAACTTAGTAACATAGTTGTTACTAAAAAAACAGAAAACGGGTAGAAACTACGTAATCTCAAAAAAAAAATAAACAGTAAGAAATCACTAGTTGATGACAGATTGTCTTCTTGCAAATAGTTATTCAAGATACTAAAGTAAGCATATAAAGTGGGGGTTCAAACAGTGAGATTGCAACCAGTTCTGTTCAACTATCCAACAAAAACTTAGAAATATGGTTATCAATCCTACACACTTAAACCTACATGCAGTTATCCATATCTTCAATTATGTTGACACTGAATAAACTCAAGCAGGCTAATATCACTCTGAACAAAGAATAATTGCTGGGTTTCACATTATGACACTCCAGGATCAGCACTGTGTATTTTAGTGTCTCTTTTTCTTCAAAGTATCTATTAATTTCATCATGTGTCATAAGATCAGTTCTCCTAAACTGTTTATAGATTCTACACATGCGTGAGTCTTACATGTATTTCTATCCTCTCTATATTAGAGTGAGAAATAAAACAAAGCAAGTAAAAACAAAACATATTCCTGTAAACACATGAAATGCAACAAACATATAAGACCATTGTACAAAGAGTTCTACCGTGGTTCCTGTGTTGTCTCTTGTTGTCTCCAATAGAATTGGCTATATCATCAGACATAGTATAATTGAATATATCAGTACATAACAGTATTAATAAAAACACAAGTCTATATATAGTATAGAACTTTAAAAACCAGCAGTTATCAAACCAGAATGTGTATCGTAGAGTCTTGTCATCTTCAGGATAATTGCCTATACTCTCAGACTTGATACTATCAATCATATCAGTTTTAAATAAAATCTTCTCTGCCTCATTTCTGTTATACTCTTTTTTGGCATCCGTTGTCTGCTTATCTTCTTCATTCTGTTTTCTGCTCCATTCATTGAGGCCTCTCTGCCACTGTTCCTGAAATCCAATTACTTTTCTCTTTAGAATGCCCTGCAGTATTCTCTGTAGAGTTGTGTTGGTGGTTGCAAATTTCCCAAGTTCCTCTTTGTCTTGGAAGCATCTTGTTTCTCCATTAATTTCTAGAGACAGTTTAGCAAGGTATATCAATCTGAGATGGAGGTTATTTTCTTTCAGAGCCTGGAATATTTTTCTCCAGGCTCTTCTTGACTTGATGGTTTGTGTCAAGAAGTCTGCCATTATTGTGAATGGCCTTCCTGTGTAGGTTATCTGTTTCTTGCCTCTAATAGCTTTTAACACTCTGTTCTTACATTGAATTTCTGGGATCTTGATTATTTTATGCCTGGATGTGGCTCTATTTTGGCTGTAGGTGGCTGGAGTTCTGTATGCCTCATATATCAGAATATCATTTCCTTTTCCTATGCTTGGGAAGTTTTCCTTAATTATTTCTGTGAATAACCTTTGTAGTAACCTTTGTAGTAACCTTCTTGACACAAACCATCAAGTCAAGAAGAGCCTGGAGAAAAATATTCCAGGCTCTGAAAGAAAATAACCTCCATCTCAGATTGATATACCTTGCTAACCTGTGAGTAACCTTTGTAGTTCCTTTGTTTGTATCCCAGTTTCTTCATTCACATTCTTTATTCTCAAGTTATAGATCCTTTTGTCACCCTCTAGCCTTTGTATTGTTACAGCTTGTTTTTTGTTATTTTTAAAAAGTTTTCCCTTTCATACTCCCACATTGCAAAACTGTCCTCCAGTTTGGATAATCTATCCTTAGTTTCTTTCAAGCTGATTTACCATCTTTCCAAAGAGTTTTTAATTTCCTGGTGATTTCTTTGAATCTGCTTCATGTATTCTACATTTTTTTTTATATTCTTCATCACATGGTTCTCTCCTGTGTTTGAATTCCTCCCTTCTTCTGTCTGTGTCTGCTTGAGGGGTGCTTAGTATCTCTTTTATTAATCTTCTTATATCTTGCCTTATTTGGCTAAATATTTCCCTTTTGAACTCTTCTATGAGGTCCCGAATATATCGTTTTATGTCCACTGGTGCTGTGTCTGATACTGCATGTTTGCTGTTCTCATTCTCTTTTGTATTTACCTGTCCCGGGCCAGTGTTCCCAGGGTTGGGGCCCAGGGACTTTTTGTTGTTGCTTCCTCTTCCCATCTTTTTTGCTTCTTCCAGGAGGCCCCAGTTTCTTTCTTTGTTGGTTACAATTCTTCTGAAGCATGCTGGCTAGATGAGCCTTCCCAGTGCAGTGTGCTAGTGAGTTGCAGACAGGGACAGCGTTTGCTGGCCCCTCCCCTCCAGACCAGCCAAACCTCCGAGGCCCCACTGGGCCAGTGTGGTTAGTGTGTGCCACAGCTACAGGGACTTGACCTCAGATAAACTATTGGGTCTCAGCCAGGTCACATGACCCAGGCCTAGCTCACTCCACCAATCCTGTTTGGGAAGGGAACAACTGATAAAGTCACTGCTGCCCCTTGTACTTGCCAGTCCTGCCCGGTCCCAGAATGTCATCTGCCGGAGCCGCCTTATTTATGGAATGGCTCCACTGCCATGACTCATCACAGGTCGATGTAGGCACCCTGCCAACTCAGCCCTCCGTTTGGCTTGCTGACCCTTGAAGTCAATGTAACTGTGCCTCCAGTGAGTCAAAGCGGCGGGACCTCGGACGGCTCAGCAAGTTGCAGCGGGACATCAGACAGCTTGGCAAGTCATGGCAGTACCTGGGCAAGTTGCGGTGGGACCCAGGCAAGTCGCAGCAGGACCCGGGCAATGGCGGGACCTCAGCCAGTCGCGGTGAGACCTTGGATGGTTGTCAAGTTGCCTTAATTTCTTCTTGGAACGAGAGAATTCATCTCCCTCTGTTTGGGGCTCCCCACTCTGTATTATGTTGAGTTCTAAGTTCACTATCTCAGGGAGCTTCTATAGCCAGTTGTTATCTATTCACCATCTTTGCTCCTCCCCCTTCAGAAGGGGTAGTAGTTATTGATCAGCAGTTAGGGACCCTCTGCAGAGGTTTTATCTAATGGCCTTCAATAGATACCAGGTGGTTTTATCTTAAGTAAATAAAGTGTATGGCTTTAAGTTGGATTCAGTCCAAGGTCTGGAGTTCACCCTAGTGTCTTGTGCAAGTTCATACCAGCAGGCTGATGGGTCTGCGACAGAAGGTTGAAGGCTCTGTAATGAAAGGCTAAACAGTCTATGCTAAAAAGCTGAAGAGTCTACACTGGAAGCCAGGAGACCAGGTTCCAGGGCCATGAATTTAAAGCTGAATATAGTAAGTCATCTATGATTTAGGGCAAAAGATCTTACATACAACCAAAATCTTTCTGGCAAATAACTTGAAATTTAGGAATACTTGCTTTGTTAGCAGGCTGTCAAGTGATATGCTCACACTTCAGCTTTTTGAAGTTTGATCTACCATAATTTACGCCTCCTCTTTTTATGCAGCAATTCAGGTCATGCTGTACTCTCCAGGATAAGACAGAATGAAGAACATTTAAGGCCAGACTTCAACTTTGCATGTTAGCATGCAAAATGGCACCTTTTAGCATCTTGACACCAACCCGAGAAGAGAGTATCTTCCAGAAAATTCTATTGTTCCAGTAATCATAAATGCAACTGCATGAAACAGTTTATCAAATATATTTTCTTCTCCGGTAGTAGATGGCTCAAGCCACACCTACATGATACAAGGCAGACATTCTAAATCCTAATTCTGAATATTTGTATTTTACCCCGAAAAAGCCATCTGAAAACAAGGAAGCTTTCCACACCTTTATGATGTTTCAAAAGTTATAGGGCAGTAGTTTACAATCTGTTCCAGAGAAATCCTGTAAATCCTTTCAGGGTCACTACTGAAGCTATTCAAGCACTTAAGAAAGTGTTACATTTCCTACTGCTGAAGCAAAATGTTTCTTCTCACTTTAAGAGACACCTTAGGAGCCTGGAGTCAAAGGGATTATCAGATGTATATATGGCAGAGATGTCTGGCTGTCCACCCACAGACTGGTGCTCCCTTCCCATAGCACCCAGGGGGTGCTGCCAGCAGCTGCCTTGCTAGGTGCTAGGACCCCCAGCACCAACGCTACCTCAACTCCACACCTGTTCTACAGGCCAAAACCAGGCATAGGCTCCCAAGGGCACCCTAGCCCAGAGCAAGCCAGTGGCATCTGAGTGGAATGAATGGTAATTTGACTCCTCCTTTCACCTTATTTTCTTGTAGCAGCAAGCCAGCTGGGCACCACCTGTTGAAGATAAGCCTATAAGGAGATAAAATTGCTGAGTCAACATCCTAGGAGGAGCTGCCAGAGAGGGTTGCCTGATCAAGAAGAAATATTAAACACTATAGAAGACAGAACAGATTTTTGTGTTACGACATTGAGTCCTGATTTTATTAGAGTAGTTCACCTTCTCTGACCAAATAGAAGAAATTAATGTAACTAAATTTTAGACAGCCCTGGATTCTTAGAATGGAAGAGAAGCAAAAGGCAGTGAATGCTCAAGAAATGCTGTATTTGGATCTTAAACATGGTAGTTTATGATTTTAACATAATTTTTAACATCTAGAAATTAGAGATGGTGTTCAAAAATGTCCTGAAGCCCATCCATCCATTCATTTATTTATTCAACAAATATTTCCTAATCAACTAATTCATACTCCAGACTCTGACAGGCAGCTGGACAGAACTGTGAATAAAACCCTGTGCCACCTTCTTGGAGTTCACTTTCTTAAACAAAGAATAAAGAATTATGTCACATAATACCCTATTCCACTGGTTGCCCTAATGATAACCTCTTAATTTTCTTTTATTCAAAAATGTGGTTATGACTAGTGGAGAAAAAGTGTGCTATTTTCTTTCCTCTGTAACTTTGTCTTTCTAAATTGTATTTTAGCAACCTGAAAGGGACAAATTGGCTGAAGAAAGAGAAAATTCTAAGTCTTTAACAGACCATGACAAAAACAGGGCTAAATAATTATTTCAAAGAAAATGAAATTACTTTTTTTTTATCGCCATACCCTGAATGGCTTTCCCTGTTGTACCCTGTAAGACTGTAATAGCACTAGCTGCAGAATGTACAATTCCTGACAATAGACAATACAACTGAAAAAATTAGTCTCCTGTGTTCAAAATAACACTCTCATAACAATGGGAAATTTGTGCCTGCTCTCTCCAGACCTTTGCTGTGCAGAATACCAGTGCAGGCTAATTATAAGAGCTAGCTGAAAATTGTGTGCGTAATGGAAAGGCAACCCCCTAAAGAACCACACAGAAAAGGTCTTACCGTCAAATGCAAAACAACAGGAAAGAAAAACAGAAAAACAGAGAGTAAACGTGAGAGCATGCACAGGGGCATCCTCATTAGCATAGTGCAGTGAACTGGTGTGCTGTATGCACACCAAAGACTTGCAAAACTCTCCAGCTTCAAAAGGACACCTTCCATGATGACAGAATGTCCCCCCCATACCAAGTCAGTGCTTGGCCACAAGTGCAGATATTGATCATCCTTTTGATGAAAATTGTTGTCACTTTTGGGAGCAAAAGTTGTGCATGTCTGTGAGAGAGCTGAACAGAGCTGCAGGCAAGGGCCATGTGTTATCAGAACATCATTATCAATGTGCACATCACGCACACTGGCCAAGGAGCAACCAGGTCTCTGCAAGCTATGCTGAGGCAAAGATCAATTTCTCTCAGTTCCACTTTTCCTGTGTCTTCATACTACATGCTTGATTTGTGAAAGGCAGTATAGGCTTAGAATAAAGGCCTTCAGGGAAAGTCGAGCAGAGCTTTGTACCCTGACACCCCCCAACAAACAAACAAAACAACAGGTCCCACATGACCAAAACACATGTGCTGTGCCTGTGGGATTCTTCATACAGCAGGAATATTTAAGTTATGAAATATTTTCCCTTTTTTCCCATGTGCCCATCTCAAAAAGGTGACCTGTCTTCTGTATCAGGGTGCTACCTCAATAGGGAGCAGCTTTCAAGGACAGTTTGCATATCTAGAGTGTCTTTCTGCAAACAAAAGTCATGAGCCTGTTTACCCAGAGGTTCAGCTGAACAGCAGGACAGACCCAGGCTACTGACCTGGATTTCAACGTGTCACCACCCCAGGGAAGGGCGTGAATGGCTTACAGGCAGCTGCTTCAATGCCTTCCTCCCACAAGCGCTATTTTTAAAATTAAAAAGAGGAAAAGAGAAAGAGGAAAAGAGAAAGAGGGATGTGTGTGTGTGTGTGTGTGTGTGTGTGTGTGTGTGTGTGTGTGTGTAAAAGAAACAGAGACAGAGGCACAGAGAGAAAAAAAAAAACAGAGACTGGGGGGGGGTGTTCATTACTAGGAAGAGAGAAATACAGAAGAAAAAAGGAAAAATATGGAGAAAAATACAGAAGAGTGCTGAGTCCTCCTTAAAGTTGCGTGGCATGAGAATTTTGCCATAGCTCTCAGCTGAACAGCCTTCTAACTGTCAGCCAAGCACACAGCAAAATGAAACTCAGATTACCTCCTTTCAGGGAGACCACAGGCCCTGCCCACATGCATATCCTTCCTGGCCCCCACGCAGAGCACTGCTACACTCCGTCCTTCCAGGTGCCATCTAGAGAGCTCCTCACTTTGGAATCTCAGGCCCGAGTGCCTTTTCTGCATAAGAAGCATGGAACTTATGGACTTCTTTCTACCCAATTTGAATAAAAGGATGTAACGGACTCCCCAAAATACAAGATTGTAAGTAGAAATGGCTGAGTCTGGGGACACCCAGAGCTGGGACTGCGGGTTAATCCTTAGCCTGAAATCACAACCAAAATTTTGTACAAGGAAATATTTTTCTAAGTAGGGTCCAGAATTTGTACTAAAGTGTCAAAAGGAATGAAGGTCTTTAAGAGCATAGCCAGTAGAACTGTGCCATGCTTTTTAATAAATATGGACCTACAGACACGTAAGCTGAATCCTCGAGCCAGGTTATGACTGTGGTTGGCACCACATGACCCATTCTCCTCACCATCTCAAATCCTATGCCAAGCTTGAGAGTGAACACAGACTCACTTCACAGAGGACTGCAAAGATGCTAGGAGAACTTAAATATAAAATACTTATTTTCAAATTAAATTAGAATTATTTTCAAATTAAATTGAAGAGTGGGACTTACCCTTTTGTTTTGTTGGATAAAGACTTAACATCATTCTGTAGATTTTTACATTTCTCTGTCAGCTGGTGTGAGTTCTCATTCAGATATGTGCTGTTTCATGAAAGAGATAAAAAAGATTGATTTAAAATGAAAGCCTATAAGATACTGTTAACCAATATCAGATTTAATCGATAAGATATTTCCAAATGAAGTGTGATTTTCACTCCAGTATTGAATTTCTCCAAGGAAATTGATATTTTCACCTCTGATGATTCTAACCATCAGAGATTCAGGACTCTAACCATGCAGACTTGGGAGATTAATAGTTCTTCCCATAAAGAACACAGATAAAGCTGGCCTTTCTTATAATAGCTGTGATATGAGGGGCCTGGTACTGCTGCTTTATTAACTTAGAAAATTGGAGATTTAATAAATCCAACCCAAAAAGCAGGTTAAAGAATAGATGATAGAGTCATGGACACAACTGGCCTTGTGGACAAGGCATCTTGTTATTAACATATTTAACATATTCCCACACCTCTAAAGATAATAGATGCTAACTCTGAGTATTTCCATTGTGACACATATATGTTGCATAGAACATTTTACAGCATCTGCTGCCATGCCTCAGCCATAGAAAGTATTTAAAAAATTGACCATCACTTTCCTTAAACTTTAAAAAAGATGTGCACAATGGTTTTATAATTAATCCATTTACTTAGTAACCCTCAAGAAATTTGTTAGAAATTGAATATGAGACACAAGATATTTAGGATGAGGAGACAAGTAAAACCCTTTCCCTAGTGGAACTTGTTGTGGGGTTAGGAAACAAGACGTTGACCAAACCACCAAACCCACAAATTAATAAAGGAATATGGACTGTGGTTGAAACAGTTTAAATACAGTGAGTGGCAGGAAAGAGGGAAACAGGCAGGCCGTTCACACTGAGGCCTATGAGGGAGAGCCACCTAGGTGGACACCCCAAGGATGAGGGAGACCCCAAGCAATGTAGGAGAACTTTGGAAAATCGGAGATGTTGCTGGGAATGTTCCACACTGAGGAAACAGTGTGTAAAAAAGACCTCAGACTGGGGAGCTGGGCTGTTTGAGGAACTGCAGGAAGGTATCAAGAGCTGTGTGTTATTTGGAAGGCAAAGCAGGGGTCAAACCACTCAGGCCTACAAGGCCATATTAAAGACTTTAGAATTTATCCTAAAAACAAGGGAAAACAGCAGGTTTGCAGGCAAGGGTGTGACAGGCTTTGATGTTTGTTTTAAATGATTTACTAGTACCACTATGCAGAGAACTGAAGGGTAATGGGGCAAGAAAGGAAGTAGAAAAGTTAAGAAACGTGTGCAGGATTTCAGAGGAGAGATGATGGCAACTTGTTTTACTGGGTAGGGATAGAATAGTGGCTTCTAGGACCTGATAACAAATAATACCAACTTCCCAGTGTCGTGAAATGCCACTGCTTGTATGGATGGCCTTCTAAGGCAGCTGTACCCTGTGCAGCTTAAGGATTGTGACAAGTTAACTCTACATCAACTTGACTGGCCTGGCAGATGCCCAAGCACCCTGCAAAACATAATTTCTCGAGGGGTGTGTGTGTGAACTTGTTTTAGAAGTAATTAGCAACTGAGTTAGTGAAATGACTAAAGGAGTACCATGTGCCCCAGTTGGGTGGGCATCATGCAGTCAATCAAGGGCTAAAATACAATGACAAAAAAGAAGCAAAGGTGAATCCATTCTCTACTGAGGGAAGAATGAATGCACCCATCCCCTCCTGCCCTTGGACATCAGTGCTCTTGATTTTTAGACTCAGACTCATTCTTGGGCTTCTGGAGGGAGACTGGGATCCCCATCAATCACCCCCACCTCCGGCCTTAGGCCTTTGGACTTGGATTATTTTATCACAACAGTTTTCCTTGGTTTTGAGCTTATGGATGGCAGACTATGGGACATCTCTGCCTCCATAATTTAATCACACGAGCCAATCCATCATCGTAAATCTTTCTATGTGATCTGTTGGTTCCACTTCTCTGAGGAACCTTGACTAATACAGGGACCCAAATTGCTCCTGTCTGGTCATATCTTTGTTTCAGCAACTGGCTTCTATAATTGCTGAAGAAGTACTGGAAAACTTGACCCAGTGTGCGAATGTTTTAGCACAGCTGTAAGAGGTGGCACTAGCCTAAATCAGTCACATACACCCCCACACACCTAACTGAAAAGGGGGAAAACGCAATGAATAACCTTCCTGAGTTCCCAGAGAGGTGGTGGGTGCAGGTGATGTAACAAGAAGCAACACCAAAGTCTGATTTTCTTTATAAAACAAGTGTTTTGTTTTCTTTTGCACAGACTTCCCAGCGGAGACCACACCTCACCTGTGCCCACTGGCAAGACAAGTGGGAAGATCTGAGATCTATTCCAGATATTAGATAGACAATATTTCTTAAAACACTGGCCATGGAGGAGACAGAGGTTTAAAGAGAAAGATATAAACAAGACAGGATCATAATTAATTCTCCACTATTTCTCATAAACGCTTTCTAAAAATACTGGGTTCAGAGTATCTCTAGGCTCAGAAAATCCCTCTTAATCCTGATACGATTTCTTTCTCTGCCACTTCCTCCCCCCTCTCACCTTCCGGCTATACGCTCACCTTGTGTGCTTTCGAATGTATGATCATATTTCCCCAGGATTTGTTTCTTTCTCATTTTCTGTGTGTTTTATTCAGGCAGCACCATTAATGAAATGAATTACCAAGCTAGCAATGCTTTGAATTATGATGGCTTTGCAATATTGAATTGTGAAACTTGACAACCAGGCACCGAGAGAATTGTGTCTCATACACTGTTTCTCGAATTGGAGAGTATCTTTGTTAATATAAACTCAGAATCAGTTTTCCCAACTAAAATCACAGACAGTGAATGGAAAGCAAAAGAGTGTATCTGACAGAATGAAGACAGGAGAGAAAATGGGGCCCTCGAAAGTTCAGATTTGGGGAAGAAGGAAGTCAGCCTTAAATGTGGGTTCTACTCTGACTTAGTCTTCAGCCCTAACGTTTAATTCCTTCTCAATAAAGTAATTAAAGAAGTTAAGATGTGTTAAAAAATAACCCTGACACGCAGAAATCAGGCAATAAATCTTATGTTTTCACTATCCTACACTGTTACTGCATTCTTTTCCCAAGCCAGTCACTGTCATTGCTCTTAGGATCGGAAATCTGTCACACCTATAGGAAGCCACTCAAAAATGAAAACCACGGAAGCTCTTTTAGTCTGCTTTGTTTTCATGTCTCCCCTGTCCCCTTTCATTCAAAGCCTTCAGGATTTTCTTCTTTTTCATCTAAAATTATTCCACCTTGCTCCAGAAATAGGTAAAAAAGAAGACCTCTCATTTTTGAGTTGAGAGAAAACGTGACTCGTGAACAGATCCTATTTGAGGGGTCAGCCCACACTACAGAGGAGATGTTAGAGAGAGCCCACTTTAACATCCGATGTGGTGCTACCTCTCAGACAAGTCATAGGATAGACAGAAACTGATCAAGATGAAAGTAGGAAGTGCAGAGAGTCAGAATCACAAACAAGACATCACAACAAGACAGGGATAGACAGATCTGTAGCCCCTGGAAAGGTATCTGGGGTTCAGGTTAGAATGACCCATACAAAAGGACTAAATGTCAGGGAGAACAAGAAAGAGTTCAAGAAATTAATTGCAGAGGTGAAGCATGTCACAGTGGACAGCTGTAGAGTTGCGTTTCAAGGAGAAATCAAAGTGTGACTGGAGAGAAACCCACCTAAAAAGCTCACTTAGATTGGTGGGCTGAGGCACTGGGTATGGAAAAAGAAACGGAACAGGACTTAAGCGTTCTGCTAGGCACAGTCTATGAGTAACCAAAACCCCAAGGTCAGACTCACAGGCTAAGTAAGAATTCTGTCACTGTCAAATCTAAGACTTCCTTAAAATTTCAATTTCATTTTCTGGTGAAAGCACTTCTTAAACAGTTCTTACCAAAACTGACTGTAAAAAGCGGGAAAGGATCCATTTGTATACAAACTGTCAAACGCTACAGTAAGAGTGGTAAAAAGGACCGTGGCTCTCCTCTGAGACGTCTGCTACAACTTGTGGACTAAGCCCTGGAGGTGTTTAGGCAGCCAGCTGAGATGGCTCTAACTGCTCTGCTGAAGCTTCTGTAGTTGCTCCATCTAAGATCACAGGCTTGGCCCACGTGTTGCCATGCGAGCTTGCTTGCTTTCCCGTTTGTGGCATCTGTCACATCTTGCAGCTCCCTCACCTCCTTGCTCACCCTGACATTCTTTTGCATCTACCTTGCAAATATGCAGTAGTCAAGTGATATAGCTCCTGACAAGATATTCCTAGAGTCGACCTTGGTCTGGTAGGGAAAAAAAGAGACATACAGGCCCTTGGGAAAGCTACTGCCTTGATAATCCATGGGGTTCAATTTGCTATGCCTTTTGTATTCCTTGACAATTCTATTACCAGTCCCGGCTCCCTCAATGGCTACTCCAGGCATGCACAGTTATCCTGCTGTCTCTGCCATTCTCTGCCCTCCTAACAGTTCATTTAATCATGCTTCTTATTTCACAGAAACACAACGCTGCTAGGTGTGAATTAATCTATAGCTGTCACTCATCTTGACCTTCCACCTCAGAAGAAAAAGTGTCTCCTCTTTTTCAGAAGGATAATCCACCCGCCATTTGTCCCCCCATCTTCTCTGAGATTGGGTCCCTTCCTTCGTATTTCTTTTAACTTAATATTTACTGTCTCCCTACCACTGTAGTTTTCTCATGCTCAATTCTCTGTCCTCTCTAAATAAACAAAAACAAAAATAATTCACTCTGCTATTCTCCTTGTATTCAAATTACAACCTGTTTCTTTTTCCTGCCCCTAAACCCACAGCCCAAGGTGACCTGCCTCATGTGTACCCTTGACCATGTTACAATTCTGCTCTGAAGCCTTTGTAACCCCCCTCCTTGCCTCGATGGCAATGGTCCTGAAGCACAGCCCCCTTGCTGTGACACAAAGCCATCCGCTATCTGGGCTCTGACTCTGAGTCTGCAGACAGCCTGCTAACTATTAAATGATCCAACTTTCCCTTTTTCCATTCCTTGTAAGTCTTATATTATGGATCCAGACTGCTTTTATTATCTAATTATAGCATTTATTTGTTTGTTTGGCACTGGCTACGAAGCCTTCAGGCACGTTTTCATTGCCACAGTATGTCAGGGGGAAAACATCTTTAATAAGATTGGGAGGAAAAGATACACATAAGCAAGCATTTCTGCTATCACTGTTACCTGCCTGCATGCTGTACTTTAAAAAATTCTATATTTGTGATTCCTGAATTGAAAGTGATCACTTTACAAGACCAGCTGGGAAGATTCCACAGAAAAGCAAGTGCTTAGCAGTTACGTTGTTTCTCACAAAATAATAAAAATTAAGACACTGATTAAGCGAAAAACTATCTCTCAAAGGGAAACAAGTTATTTGGCCCCTACAAAATAATGTCATCAGTGCATAATGAGCATCCACAAAGACCTCTAAAATAGAGAATTAATGTCACCTTCTAAGTATGAACTGCAATCATGCAATCACACAATCAGTTCTCTGGCCAAGTCAAACATCCCAAAAAACAATCTTTATGTAAGTGACTAGGGATGCGAACATCCAAATTTTATTTATGGGGACCATAATGGGGACTAAACTGGACTGTGAATCTAAATGGAAAGCTTGAAGCCTAGTCAATTTACTTTCTCTGAAGAATGAATACATTAACAGGCAGGGAATATCTGAACACAAAAAGCCCAGAAAGCCCAAAGAGTGAGATTTTTTTTTTTTTAGACAGGGTCTTGCTACATAATTCAGACTGGCTTTTGAACTCACTATATAGTCCAGGTTAGCCTCAAGCTTCTCTAGTACACCACCATGCTATTAAATGCCTGCACCAGCATGTCTGGCTTTTTACCTGACCACCAGCAGAAATCCCCTACTGAGGGGCAGATCAGGCTGACCAGCCTCTGGGACAAAGGCCATAGTGATCACCAATCTCACGAAGCAAACTTCTCATAAGACAGCCACACACCCTCATGTAGATTTTTTGAAGGGAGAAAGGCAAACATCCCAGCCCACTGCATAGTTTTATTACTCTCCTTAATTAATAAACCAACACTGGTTTAGGAATGGTGACTCATATGAGCTTGGTTAATAAAACTCTGCCTTTACAATCTCCATTGTATCCAGAAACTGGCAAAATCATATCATGTCACTTACAAAGATGAGGGGTACATCCTGGCCCTCCTCTTTGTTATTCTGGCAAGGTAACTGAAGAGTCAGGCCAGGTGCCAGAGAGAAGGGTAGGTAATGGATATAAACCAGTGAACAAGACCTTGTTACTGCTTTCTTGTAGAAACAGCCTATTGGAAGGACAGACCAGTAAGCCACACTGATCATTTGAGGGTGCAGCATGAATGCCAGCTATTTTCCATAATCACATTAATTTCAAGAAACCACTGATCGGTGTTTTGGTGGATGTCATTTAATTCAAAATATGGGAACTGCTCTCAAAATGATTACAAAAAACTTTCCTCTTTTATCCACGAGCATGGCTGACAACTTAAATTGTAAAATATTCTACAGATAATCTCTGCTACTTGGCCCTTATCTTTTTTCAGTTATCCATGATGAAGATTAATTAGCTATCTCTTACTATTAAATCCATTACTGTAATGCATTTTTGACCCTTACCGTAGTAGTTTTTTTAGAACTTAAAATCATAACTATAACATAGGTACAAAATGTATATGTATGAAAGATCATAATTTGCTCATAATACAGGAACTAGTCAAAGAAGAACCCAAAGCACCTCCATACTTAAAGATCAGGAATATTGGCATGTAGTTATGTGCAAATGGGGATGAAATGAAACTGGTTGGGAAGGGGCAGGGGAGTCATCAGCCCTCTAGCAAACAGGGCACAATTTGTATATTTACAGAAAATAATTATTTTGCATTGCTATCAGTTAAGTATAACTCAGAGTTGTCCAAGAGCTTCCATAGGATCAGAATCACCAACTCACAGGTATGTGATCTACACAAAACAAGCACACCCGCAGAAGCACCCTATTTAACCCACACCTTTAATAGTACCACTGACCAACACTGCAATGTTAAAGAAAGATTCCTAGTAACAAACCTAACAGGCTCTCGATTCTTCTGCATTTCAGTCTCTATCCACTCACGGCTTGCTCCAGAGAAGAACAGAAGTACCTGGCTTAGGCCTGAGTCCCTCGGGCTGTCAGAAAGCATGGACTGAACTGAGTAGACTGAAGTGAGGGTTATCAAAAGAGAGAATCTGGTATTAAGATTTAGGACAACTTCAAATCCAGATGGATAACACCTTGTTTCCTACAAAATAAGACCCACCTAGAAAATAAGTTCTAGCATGATTTTAGAAGAGACTTCACCTGAAAATGAGCCCTACTGAGTCTTTTAGAGTAAAATATGGCATTGGGATCTTAAACAGGAAATAGAATAGTTAGCAAAGTAGAGAGAAAATGAAATAGAAGTAGACTAGGAACAAGTGACAAGCCTTGGAGTGCCCATATCTCATTTCATTGACCCAGAAATGTGAGATCCTGGGGTGTTTGAGGCAACTTTAAAAGTACAGGAAAAAAATGTAGAATCAAGTTGGGATTTATCTACAGTAGGCTATCTCTAAGTCTTCCTGCCCCACCACCAGGTCTCAAAGCAATACAGAATTAAAGTAGCCTAATATTTTATGCAGTCAAGATTGTTTGCCCTTTCTTGAGGGCACTTTTCACGCAGGAGATTAGGATGTGACCAGTTGGTTGGGTATCTGCACATGAACTGCCAATCATAGAGATTCAGAGCACATGCACCCAAATCAGATACCTGGGACCAATCATAAAATGCTATCTGGTGTAAGATCAAGCAGGTTTTTCATAGGATGGCTAGATCTGACAACACCCTGAGGAATGGAGAACACAAAGGACAATTGTCAGTGCTCTAGAACTCAGTAACATACTGAGTATATTTGTATCCACATTCCTTGATGGAAAAATACTTATATCCCCACTCATTAAGATTGAAGTTTATGTTCTCTAAAATCGAAGAAAGAAAAAAAAAGATTGAAGTTTAGAGGCTAAGGATACAGGTCAGTGATACAAGTGCCTGCCTGGCAAGTACAAGATCCCAATTTGATTCCCAGTACACACTCCCCTGCAAAAAAAGACTGAAATTTATAATAGTGATGTATACAAGACAGTCGTCAGGTACTAGGTACTGTTTTAAACATTGTATACATCATCTTATTTACTCCTCACATGAAATGTGCAGGTTAGGTACTAAATCCATTTTACAGAAGAGGAAAATAAGGCATTGTTCAGATTAAGGACATTTCCAAAGTCAGAAAGTTAGAAAGAGGTAGAGTTTTAAGCTCATATACTATGGTTGTGTTCTTATCTACTGTGATATTCTATCTTATTTTAAAGCAAAACCTGTAACTTCTTTGAAGAAATAGAGAATATTTCATCATCTAAAACATTACCTTCTCCAGGTTATCTCATTCTGAATCTATGGATACTAACAAAGATTCTCTCCTTGATCAAACTCTATTCAGGTCCCCCAATTCTTTTCAACTAGTCCCTATTACTGGCTGTGTCTTTACAGTTTAATTTTAGCAATAACCCTGCTAGGTCAGTTTATCCAGAATCATCTAAGTGTGCTCTCTGACCAGCCTCAGTATCTGTTAAGATTCCTCATTCTCATGCCTGCTCACCCTGGTCCACCTTCAATAAGATTCCTATCCAGTCAGTTTAGCCAGAGTCACCTCTTACTCTTGAAGTTTGCTTTGGGCAATTTTCTGCACACTGACCTCCCATAAGTTTATCCCTTGGCTACAGATTCCTAGTTGTCCTTGTATTTAGAGCTGAACTCTGTTTACTGCGAAATTCCACTGCAGTAATACCTATCATGATAGTCCTGTTTAAAGTCTGCCTTCCTATTTTAGCAGTGCCATAAATATTTTTTTTCCTTAACAGAGCAATTTTTCTATTCTGTAAACTGTAGATAACAATAGCAATACAAAATAATTCTTGTTCATAGGCATGCAAATGAATTATGTCCAGGGAAGAAATAACTCACCCCAATAGCCACATGAACACCAAGTAAGCAATTAGTTTTGCCTCTGTGTAGGCATCCATCTCAACAGTCCTCATCTACAAATGTGCCTGTTTGGTAGACTCCTCTTGTAACTGGTTCTAATATCTTACCAGTTTCCTCACTGAGTTACAGGAAAATCTTCTAGAAGTAATCACTTTCATATCTGTATGAAACACATAGTTTTACCTTTTTATTAAAATTATCTCCCTGAATGATAGTGCTGAAAACATTGCTAAATTGAATAAACATACAATGATGATAGAGATGATAAATTTTCATAGCAAAAATACAGTCATTCAAATCCTAAATCTGCTGCATGCAAGATGATTAACCTTAAGGAGGTTCCTTAACCTCCTGTGCACTTTCAGCTTCCTCGTGTGTGGAACGGAATAATGCTATCTCTCGAATGGATCTGCTGCTCAATCTGTAAAGGTAACACATGAAACTGTTCGGCACAGTGATTGGAATGGAGAATCCACTTAATAAGCAGTATTTGGGAGGAGGAGTGGATACAGCAGTGGTTATTACTGTCTTGGCACTCTTCCTGAAGCACCTCTGCACCACCTGGAGAACTTATTGAAATGCAGATTCCAACCAGTTAGTAGATTTAGGATGGAGCCTAATCGGCAGCATTTCTAATA